GCCGGGACCCCCCCGCCCGGCAGCCCAGAGCCGGGGGGCCAGGCCGCCAGCCTCCGGGCAGCACTTCCGACGCTCCGTGGTGGGCTAACGCGAGGCTCTGAACCGCAGCGATTGCACAAGCGAGGTCAGGTGCACGTGGCCCCTGTGGCTTTGCCCGTGATCGAGGGAGGCGTTTGACGCGGCCTCGCGTGACCTTCTGGTCCGTACCCTGGGAGATGCAGCCTAGCTGGGGTGCCGGAGGGCGGGGGCGTACGGCCGTTCCCTGGGTCCCAGCCGAGCCGGACGGGAGAGGGGTCGCGCCAGCGCCCCCCACCATGGGAGGAGGGCTAGGCTGGATTTCACCTGGGCATGCTGCTGGGCGGGGCCCGTCAGCCGCCCCCTAGGGGTGCAGTTTGGCGCTAGGTAGCGCTCGCTTCCTTTCTCCATACCCAGGCGGACCTGGATTTGTACACGCGGATGAGCTGCAACCGCTCCCTCAGCCCCACCCCACAGCTCCTGGAATACCCCCGGCTTAGCCCAGGGCCTCCTTCCCCCTTGCATGCCCGGATGTGGGAGCAGGGAGAGGCTTCCCGGCCAGCCCAGTTCTCTTGCTTTTTTTGCATTGAACCTGGTGGAGGAGTCATGAAAGCCAGCCGCTGAGAAGGCGGCAACACAGCTGTTGCTGGTGACGGCAATCCTAGGGCTGCCAGCACTCCCCAAGCACAAATGAACGCACATGGCTTCCCCAGACAAGTCAGACTGTCCCTATTTTGTAGCAGGGGAAACCGAGGCGCAAAGGTTAAGTGACTTGCCCAAGTCCATGTGGCTAGAGCTGGGAGCAGACTCCAGCTCTGCCAGGACTTACTCGCACACCTCATACACAGCTGTCCTTTATCCTAGAAGACCAGGTTTAAACCCCAGTGGCCCACGAGCTCTGGAAATGCAGGGGAGCTGGTTCTCCACTCCCTTGTGCCGTCACCGGCACCCGTGCCCAGTGCATGCTACCCCAGGTGGAAATCCCGCCCCCATGTACTCCTGGGTTGGCACTTCCCACGCCCGCTGCACCTGGCTCTGGGAAGTGGGGAAACAGGTTCAGGAGCAGCACAGTGGGGGTGCGTGCCGTTTGCCTCTGTACAAATCCCTGACCCTGCCTGCCAGTACACACACCGAAGCAGTCCCAGGCTCCCCCAGTAGGGGGCGCTGCAGGCAGTGGGGCAGGCCACTGGCTTGTACTCCTGGGTTGGCACTTCCCACGCCCGCTGCACCTGGCTCTGGGAAGTGGGGAAACAGGTTCAGGAGCAGCACAGTGGGGGTGCGTGCCGTTTGCCTCTGTACAAATCCCTGACCCTGCCTGCCAGTACACACACCGAAGCAGTCCCAGGCTCCCCCAGTAGGGGGCGCTGCAGGCAGTGGGGCAGGCCACTGGCTGTGGAGGGCTCAGAGTGCTCCAGTGGCAGTCTCCCCCAGTAGGGGGGCGCCGCAGGCAGTGAGGGAGGGCACCGGGCGGGG